TGCACCAGCCACAGTCGTACGACAGATACGGTCCGGGCTGGGAACTCACGCCAAGAAGCGTCAGAACGTCAAGGGCTGGAAACATGGGGTCATGGCTCATCAGTCGACTTCGTCTGTTTCGGCTCGTCAAAGCATCTGTGTGGGGCTGAGCGACGGAGTCGAGATGGTGATCGGTCGGCTGCTGCGTATACAACGAGGCGATGGCTGCGTGATAACTGCTTCGATGCTCAGTGCAGAGGATGACGATGGCTCCGCACATCCATCATACTGTTAGGATGATGCTGTCGACAGCGGGAAGGAAAGGACACAAAGGATTTATGATTTATGATCGTGGGGCCTGGCGCGAGATGGTCGCGCGCGCCACTGTCCCGCCGTCGTCTCCCCCTTTTATGACCAACTCTATACTTACGATACAGTGCTTACGACCACTCTATCCCCTCTATCCTGGGAGAAGTGGCGCCATTCATTGTTGTAGAAATGCTCGAGGTACTTGCCGCGCGCCACTTCTGGGAAATTCATGGCTTCTGAAATCTAGCTCGGTGCTGCACTGTGCCGCCAAGATCTTCCCAAGGGCTACACGTTATACGTCCATCGTGCATCGACGCACCTCGCGCTACTTTTGAAACATGAAGGGGCTTTAACGACCCTTCATGCTGAGGTGGCTGAGGGCCAAGCTGAGGGCCGAATTTTAGCGCCGCCTAGTGAGAGGCGTTCTCACTAGGCGGCACAAAACATGGCCTCCGAGATCCCGAAGCGCGCGCGCGCTTCGAGATCTCGGAGGCCATGCACAAAAACTCGGTCCACCTACCCGTAAGGTTCTTCTTCTATCCGTGGGTAAGCGCCAGCGGATCGCGATTTCTGTTTTCAAGCGCACTCACGCTGTAAAATGTTTTTCTCTATTTAAAGGACACTGAAAGAGTCAAATTCGTTAAATGGTTTCCTTTTCTTTTTTTTTTTTTAGTTTTCGCAGCCAACATCAGATGGTATTGGCTTCGCCCGCGCGCCGCCAGCAACATAGAGGCCAACACAACCTGGCGCAGCGCGGAAAACGTTGCAACTTAACCCGGGACTGGGGTACGAAATAAAAAGTTAAAAGTAGAAGGGAAAGAAAAAAGGGAAGAAGAGAACCGTCTCGTTCTCTTTCTTCCCTTTTTTTCGTCCCGTCTACTTTTAAGTTTCTATTTCGTACCCCCGCGGTAAAGGCAATAAAATAACATTCGTATAAATAAACACATAACCACAAACAACGTACTTCAATAATCACACAAACTTGTTTTTCACCTTCCAGTGAAAAGTAGATTACCACGCATATTTACAAATGTCGACGCAACTGCACATGGATAATGACAAAGAACAAGATTCCATTCCGTCACGCGGTTTAAAAAAAAAAAGAAAAACGAAAACGATTGCAGCATTTTACTCGCGTCCTACATAACCAAGAAAGCCCTAAATAAGTTGTTTCTCACCTGTCGATCGGATCCATACGTCCCACAATATCCGTGACGAAAACATTTGAACACGAACTTTAAAGGGATACTTCAACGAAATTTGAAATATTCCCGTCGTGTTCAAAAATAGGTTGAATATGATCCACAATATCCGTAAATGACAATGGCACTTTTGTATTTTGAGCCTGGTGGCTGTATTTTTCGTTATAAACGGCCCACTCTGGCAAGCGCTCGGGGAAGGCCCAGCGGAGACCACGTGACATCCAACGCAATCGTGACGTAGGTCGTCTCAAGAAAAGCAAAGCTGCGGCGAGGCTGACGTCGGGAGGATGGCCTAGTCGTTCCAGCCACCGAAGCGGCTGCTTTTGTACAAATTTTGAGTGACGGGTTAATCTTCTATAATCTTGTAGGGGGACAATAGCGACTTCTGTGACACACAAAAGGCATTCTCGGGAAGAGGGGAGTTCCTCCTGCCCCTCTTCTCTCGTCGTGGCCGGAGGTGAGACAACCTCCGTCACTAGCTGCCAAGGTTGCTAGACGGGCATTACAAGCGAGGCGTTAGCGACATCCACCAGGTGCTCTTTGCTAATCGTTTAATTCGTTTCAAAACTCCTTTTCGTGACTTTTTTAACAAGATATTGGTATGTTCGATTTGATGGTGCTTTTTTGAACACATATAGACCAAAAAATGAGCGCCGAAATTTCGTTGTAGTATCCCTTTAAGTCTCTCTGTCGAAAGGGAGGTCTATCGATAATCGACCAGAGTTACCGTTGGCTAGTTGTCACACATGTCACTCAAACCGTAGCAGGACTTGTTCCACGAATCCACGCAAATGCCGTAGTATCAAGCAAACACAGAGAAAAAAAAAAAAAAACTACCCGAGACTACGGTGATGACAGAAAAACGACGGGAAGAAGGAACAAGTCTCAAAAGTACCACACACGAGAGCAGCGGCGACGTGAGGCTTAACGTTGTCGACCCATCTCTTGCTCGTGTGCGCTCCGGAGCTGCGGCGATGACTGAAATTTTTTTTGGCTTCCTTCCCTTCTGAAATGTCTCAGCATTCCTTTTCAGACAGTCAGCAGCTCTCACACAACGTAAATTTATCAGAATCGGACCCGTATGAGGGAAGATATCGCATCGGAGCCGGTTCATTCAAAAAGTGTGGGGAGCTGCGTGACTGCATGTAGTCCCGCGGTTACGGGGATACTCATAAATCTAAATTTGGTACTTTGAACCTTGGTAACGCGTTGTATATTCCGTTTATATTATATATATATATAATAAATTGCACAAGACTGCGCTTTTAAAACGTATAATGATGTCGGATAAACGCGCACGAACACCACTTAACAAGAAACTTTTTTTTTTTTTTCGCGTAGTTGCGCCATGACTTTCCTTCCTCCGACATTGTGACGTAGCCACTCGGACGTAGCCACACGTGGCCTTCCAGCCAGTACGTTACAGACGAGCTAAAGGAGCGGAAGAACGACATTCATGCTTTCGCATTCACAACTCATAAGAAGTGCTTAGGTGCCCTCGGATTTTCTTTTTTTTGTTTAAAAAGGAAGCAAAAAAAAATGTATTTGTAAGTTTTGGCATTTGAGATCGATAAGAAGTGAGCGATCTTCGATTGCAGAGATCATTGATCTCTGTGACTACTTGCTGGATTATTGTCTACACGCGCAGTCTCGCGAGTTGCCATTGCCGAGCCGCGTCCAATTACTCCTTTGGACTTTAATTCAGCCTGACTGACAGCTTGATGACTTTTGATTATTTGAGCTAATCAACCAAGTGATTTGTTATGAGCTCAATTGACGTTATGATTACTATTTTAATTACTTCGAGTTACTATTAGCTCAGACTTTATGTCAGCCTAATTGACATATTGCAGATTCTCTTGATTACTTTGAGTTATTATATCACTAATTGATCTATTATGAGCTAGCTCATAATAGATCAATGTGAACTAAGCTCAGTTCACATTACTTTTCACAAATGAGCTTTAATTCGGCGTAATTAACATTTTGATCACTCTTCATTACGTTGAGCTAATATTCAACCAATTGATTTGTTATGAGCTAATTAGCATTCTTATTACTCTTTTGATTACTTCAGGTACATGGACCTTAATGGACTTTAATTCGACCTCATTGAAATTTTGGCTACTCTTTTGATAACTGCGTGTTATACCTCCAAGTGACCTATAATGAACTCAGTTCACATTATCATTACTCTCTTGAGTACTTCAAGTTACTTTTGATCCAATGGACTTTAATTCTGCCTAATTTACATTGTGATGACACTTTGATTACTTTGAGCTAATATTCAACCAATTAAATTATGATGCTTATTGAAATTAAGATTACTGTTTTGATAAACTTTAAGTTACTATTAATCCAGTCGACTTTAATTCGGCCTAATGACATTTGGTGACTCTTCTGTTTATTTCGTGTACTTATAGCAGCAATTTGTCGGTTGTGAGCTCAATTCACATTATTATTACTCTTTTGATTACTTCGAGTTACTTTCGATCCAGAGGACTTTAATTCAGCCTCACTTGTATTGCGATGACTGTTTTGATTAGTTTGAGCTAATTTACATTACGATTTTTTATTACTTTTAGTTACTATTGACCGGATGGACTTTGAATCGGCCTAATTGACATTTTGGCAACTTTTTTATTACTTCGTGTTATAATGAACTCAATTGACATTATTAATACTCTTTTGATTACTTCAAGTTACTTTTGACCCAATGGACTTTAATTCAGCCTAATTGACATTGTGATGGCACTTTTGATTACTTTGAGCTAATATTCAACTAATTTAATTACACTATTATGTTTGTTGACATTATGATTACTGTTTTGATTACTTTGAGTTACTATTAATTCAATCGACTTTAATTCCCCCTAAGTGACATTTGGTGACTCATGTTTACTTTGTGTAATTACAGCACGAATTTATAGATTGTGATCTCAATTCACATATTACTATTTTCATTATTTCGAGTTACTTTTGATCCAAAGGACTTTAATAGGACACTTTCAAAGATCCCTCCATGCAACACTGCGCGCGTTGCAGTCTGGGAACCGCCACGAAGCGGAGTGGCGTGGTTTTGGTTTCGATCAGACAGCCTTTTCTGTACTCCCGGAGCCAAGCACGTGAACTCGGAAGCCTGCATAACTTTTCTTCACGCGCATCCGAACGTGCTTGCACGACAGGGGCACCAGCAGGGACGTTGCAATCCATCGTTCAACATGTGCCTACCTTTGCCCAAAATGCGGCTCATCGAGAACCAGAAAAGCAATGCCAAGTGTTTTTTCGGTATCTCTCGGCAACGCCTCAGTATTGTACACTTGTAGGAAGTAGCAGACATGAAAACGCAAGCAGCGTGTCCCGTCACGACACGATGATCATGAGAAAATCTAAAACTGAAACCAAAACTAACTAGCGTCAATGGCCGCCCCGCAACTGCCCAGAGCCGTACCCGTGGCTCCATCTTCCAGGGATTCCCTTAACCAGTGTTTTTTTTTTTTTTTAATCTAAAATAAATGATTTAGATGTAACACCTAATTCACGCCCGCAGTGTCATTACAGCGTTCCATGGCAAGAAAGTCCGGTGTTGTGCAACGTTACCAACGTTTCAATGTTTTCGACGCGAGTCTTCTTTCTATTCGTTTCACCTTGCCTACGCGCATTACACACCAACACAAACATGGCGTCTGAAACGTTCACGGCTTGCCCGAAGTTGTCTCTCCCCTCCGCAAATGAATGAATTAAGCAGAAGGTTTGTTGTTCATCGTGGCATCTGCGGCACGTGTTGGGTTGTCCTGCTGAAATCTCCTGCCAGCGTTCGTTTCTTCTTGTGAAGTTCGAATTCCTAGCAGCGTGTCTGCAGTTGCGGCATGAGAATGAACGGTACGTTGGAGATACCGAAGGACAACTCCCGCTACTCCGACGTGGCATATTGGGATGCCAGGTACCGCCAAGAAGCAACATATGACTGGCTCGTGCCCTACGAGAACTACGCCTATCTTCTGAGAAGACACGTCCGACAGTCGGACAGGATTCTCATGCTCGGTAAGGCCGATTTCTACAGGAACCTCCGTGCTGTGTGCTGTATGCCTCTCCGCGATTGGATTGCACCGCGGCGTGTGTATCGCGCAAGCGCCGTTAATGCGCATGTGCAGTGCCTACATTGGTTCAATCCAAGGAGGATAGAAAAGTAGGAGAGGGCATGACGTCAGCCGTGTAGCTCCACAAGCCATGCTCCCTTGACGCCTCGCCTCTTTCTCATTTTCCTCCTTACCCTCCTCACCAGGCCAACGACCACATCACGTGACCATAGCTAGCCTTCGTCTAGCTCTCTAGGCAACTGTAGTCTAGCCTTCGATCTGATAAAACCTACGGGACGGAGCGCTCGCAAGCCTGCAAGGAATCCTTCTACAATCAACCATCCATCTCACACGTGACATGTCACGCGCACTATTTGCCACAGGGATCTACGGTCACGTTTGTTACAACATATCATTTAAACTTCTTATGACTAGGCTTCACTAGTATTGCAACGTGCCCCCTCCTAGTGCTTCTAACCTCCTTGGTTCAATCGGATCCTTGTGGTCGCCGCTGTTGGATGTTGGTCTCGCGCTTTGGTCCGACATGATGAATTTCGAGGCAATTTACAGCGTTTAGTCTGGAAATCCAGTTATGTAGCCTAACGATATGGCACACTAAAATAACGATGTGGCACACAAAAATGAGTCGCTCTGCGGCCGAATTTCTTCTTGCGAAGAGCAATGCATAGCGCAAGTTCGTCTGCTTCTTTTGCAGGGGTTGTAGTGACGTGAGGATGCCGAGCTCTGATTGGCTCTGATTCAAGGATAGTGGGTAGACTTCAAAGCAAACTGCCTTGAGGTCTACCCACTATCCTTCAATCAGAGCCGTATATGGGGAGAGTTGGGTCAGTCTATGATCTCGCCGCCGTAACGCTCTCCTCCCGAGCGAGCCAATCAGCACGCGGCGCAGAGCGAGAGGCATGAGCGCATGCGCGCAAACTCCCGGCTGCTCGCAGCTGAGTGAAGAGGGCCGCCATCTTCGATCATTCTCCCGGCGGAATGCGTGGGATCGGCATCTAAATCTCGATTATTGCCTTTTATATCCCTGGCTCTGGCAAGAAAATGACATTCTGTTATTCCTCGGTGGGTTAAAAAGCTAATAAATGAAGATTTTTCGGCGTATGGCCACAAACTTTTATTCGGGCGAAAAAGAACCCGGCCCGTAGCAGACGACGCGTAGCCTCAGCAGCGCTCTTCTCCGACCAGTCTCCGACAGCGTTGCTCAGAAATGGCGGTCGCCTCCCTCTCTGCTCCCTTCTTTCTCTCTCGCTCCTTCGGCGCTCTCCTCCCTTTCATTTACTTTTCTCCTCTCCGGCGCCTTCGTCGCCACACCCACTGGCCAAACTCTCCCAATATACGGCTCTGCCTTCAATATGCCAGTACCCAAAATCTTGGGTACTGGTTAGTCACAAAGTTTCGGATTTGCTATTGCCAACCTCTCTCCACGACATATCGTCACGGCCAAATAGGATGCTTGCGTTTTTAAATATGCAATTTCCTTAAGAATTTCCTTAATACATAAGGTAGAATGCTAGTGCATGTTTTTTTGTGCTCCTGACGGGCCGGAGTTTTTGGGCAAATAAACGTAGAAAGTCGATGGCACATGGAAGTATATTGTGCCGATCATCTAGTTTCATCGTCTTCTCAATGTTTTAGGCTTCTTAAATTATCAGTGAGCTGCGAGGGTCACTCAAGTGTGGTAGCCAGGCCACCAGAATGGTATGGGATGTGGCCCCCCCCCCCCCAGTCGTACTCCTACTCCTCGCTAAGCCTGGCAAGCCCTTACGGCCGTTAGAGAGCTGTGCGGCTGAAGTGTCGCCGCACATACGCAGCGCCACTCCTCCCCCTGGCGAGGCGCACCCATTCTTGTTAGCAGCACGAGGAGCAGACGACGCGGGAGGCTGGTGCACTTGTCATGCTGGCCTTGCGCTTGACAAAGTAATGTACCAAATGCAAAAGGTGCTCAAATGCCATAGCATCGTATTAAACAGAAAGGTATCTGTCTCCCGAAAAGTTTGATTTGGTTCCTGGAAGGTGATTCAAGAAAGATTGGCAGAAGCATGAATTGCCAGCTGTGCAGAGGACAGGGTTAATTACTGTTTCTCTATCTTGTCGCATGATTCTGTAATGCAGCTACGCCTACTTGTCACGTTAAAAGGGACTTTTTGTAGATCACGCACAAGAGCATGCTAGAGTTTTGCGTTGCTTGGGGGAGTCGTCACTTTGAGGGGGGACTGAGCTGGCGCCCGTGGGGACCACAATCCGACGCTTATGTTCAATGATAAGCCACTATTGTAATAGCTACAATGGTTCCCCATGGCTGTCAACAAAAGAAGCCCGAATACGCAGTTGCCATTTTTTTTAGACAGCTTTAAAGTTGAGAACCGAGCTCACTTTGCTGACCCACCAATTTTGTTCTCTGATGTTAAAAAGAGAAAGCGGGTAACCAGCACAACACTTGAAGAAAAATTAAGCAGATAATCACAGCCCATATTGCACACTGACTTGAATGCACAATTGAAAAGAAATTGACGGCTGCATGTATTTCGGTTTTTCTATATATTATTAAAATGATGTCCAAAACAATGTTATAATGATGATCACAACAGGTATAATTACTTTCGAAGGGCCTCTCTAAATTAGGCACTAGAACATCCCTGGGTCGACCAATTTGAGCGTGTCGGCAATGTTAGATGCTCCTAATGTAATAGCTACAATGGTTCCCCGTGGCTGTCTACAAAATAAACCCGATTATGCAGTTACTTTTTAAACAAGCTTAGATTTGAGAGCCCAGCTCACTTTGCTTATCTGCCAGTTTTCCATTTTGATGAATTAGTGGAGACTGGGTCGAGAAAACTAGTAACATCAACCGTGGAAGAGACAGAAACACCTATCTCTCTTCCACGGTTGAGATTTTCAGTTTTTGCGCCTTGGTCTCGGGCAATTCATCCAAATTGTTAATGTACACCCCAGCTCAACCTGTACTCTCACGGTAATTTCTACCCATTTCGTTCCCCAATGCTTACAGGAGAAGTCGAGTAAGCAGCGAAAGACTTGAGGACAAATGAGGCAGATAAACATAGCCCGTATTGTGCACCGACTTGAGCGCATAGTTGAAAAGAGATTTACTGTAACGACTGTACTCTACTTTTTTTTTATATATATTATTAAAAGGATGCAGTTAACCTACAACAGGCATAATTACTTTCCAAGGAACTCTAAAACATTAGACCCTAGGACATTCCTCCGTCGACCCATAAGAGTGTGTTGGAAATGTTAGATGTATAAATTGAAAGCAACATAAAGAGGACGAGGACAGGGCACGTCACAAAGGCCAATAACTAAACATTCAGGACTGAAATTTAAAATTAAATAATCTTTTCTTGCAGAGAGAGTGAAGTAATATTGACGATCCTTTCCTAGCACAAAGACTCAAGATATGTCGAATTTAATTGTACCTAAACAGCAAACAAAACAAATAGTGATACAAAAAATCTTATTAGTAGTGAACAGCAACAGTGTTCAAAATATCATTCTGCAGTCACATAAACAAAAGCTAAAAAAGGTGTCGCATTATGACGCAAATGCAAGTCGATTGGAGATCATTTTCTTCACTAATAAAATTATGAGTGGGTTAGTGACACATGTACATGAATCGCGATTCTACCACTTTGACGGCAGCGGCAGATGTGCGCAAACACAGCAAAGTATCGTGGCGTATAGGGAACGTTTTTTTTTGTTCGACCCACTCGAAATACCTGGGAACAGATGAGCGGTGGCCTTAAGGCCCGTTCACACTCTTGCGACTGCTTGCGACCTCTTAAACCTGGGTTCCTTAAAACTTCTTAAACCAGAGAACACACTGGCGCCATCTAATGGGAAGCAGTGTAAACTCGGCGGTCCGGCATATTTTTTTTTATTTCTCGCGCAATATTCTTTCTTTTTTGGCTCGAAAAACTTTTGTCAATGTTATAAACGAGCCTTTCTATGGGTATTACGCACATTTGACCTCGGAAATCCCGCAAAACCTTCGCTTTTGTGAAATGCAGTTCTAGGGTCACCGGATAGATGGCGCCACAATGTCAGTGTGTCCCCTCATTCTAGAAACATTTAAGAAGTTTTAAGAGATCTCGTCTCTCTCAGTCGTACTCGGTCGCAAGAGTGTGAAAGGGCCTTTATTGATGTCCCATTTCAGTTTTTTATTAGAACTTGACCCAGTGTTGCGATCAGGCTTTGCATGCCTTGTCATTAACTTCATTCAAATGAATTAGAACAGGCGTGGCATGCTTCCGGCAGCCGATAACTTCAGTCTCCCAGTTTCAAAGAGCACTGACCTGGGTTCAAGGAATGTATGCGACAGCGCAGCTGTGCACGAAAAGAAAATTTAAACAATATGGCATCGTCATCTTTGCCTGAATAGCCCTGACTTTGAAGAGCGAGCACCATCATAAAGAAAAAGAGCATTTATCTTGAGGCAGATGTTACAGTTGACATTGTCTTGCACTTGCGAGACGCACTTCGCAGACAACAAATGTTCTTATGCCTGGATTATTTCCTCCACCCCGGAGACCTGACACATAGGCAACCTTTCTTTGCGGAGGTTCGCCTCCCTAAAAATTTATCACAGTTTTTCAACAGACACAAAGCCTCAGCGCGGTGCTCGCCATTGTAACTGGCAGTGCGATGGGACGAGCGAACGGCTAATTAGGGCGAATATACGCCACGGCATTACGCCACTGGTATTGCTACAGCGATACCAGTGGCTCAGCCCAGCCGCACGTTCCCAGAGGTCCGTGTTTCAACGGGGGCTCTCATGAAGGTGAATAGGCGCAATGCAAGTGAGCGCTGACTTCATTGGCATGCAGTGCTGAGACGTATTACTTCATCAACTGGGCGATCGAAATTGAAACCATGCCAGAATTAGAAAAACATACTAGATCAGCGCGGGTCCTGCAATAAAAGCTCACGGGCTACCTGATGTAAATATTCACTTCAACTGAGGACTGTTTCAGTTTTTGATGCAGGTAAGAAAATTGAGATTGTTGATAGCATGTACACTTACACATAAAATGTGACCATAACAAAAATCAGAAAAGTGAAGCATCTGTAGTGGTTAATTGTGCTACTACCGCGCCAAAAACAATGATATTGGGAAGCATGAGGAGAGAGTTCACAGCAGCCAGATCTCCATGGGACACGAGGCTCGGAGACAGCACTGCTCGGCAGTTTCATCGACCAATGTCTCGGATGGTTTCTTTTAATGTGTAAATATAATGTATACAAAGTTATTGACTATCATCCCCACATATATTTGGCGACTCGGACGTGATATCGGTCGATGGAACCGCTGAGCAGTGTCAATATAATGTATATAAAGTGATTGACTATCATCCCCACGCATACAGTGAATTGGAATGTGTGCAGTATGGCAGAAATAAAATTGCATCACATGTAAAACATATACAATTTAGTCAATGTGTCAGCTGACGTCTCCTACAGCAGCTGGGCCGACTCGCTCCAAGCAAACTGACCTGAGACAGCGTGAAATGCCAAGGCTAATTCACTAACTCTTGGAGGCTCCAGTCTGCATGCTATTCTTCTGGTGTACTAGCCTTAGCAATAATTATAGTTAAACAAGCAGAAGCTGTCAGGTGTTTGAGACTTGAAACTGTGATGGACTCTGCTAATTCACGCTTGGAACATGAAATCCTATGGCAGCTAGTGATAGCTAAAATATGAGGTTATTCAGCATGTGCACTCAGTGAGGCAACCACTTTCCATAAGACACACCAAGAGTTTTGCTTAACTCCATTCAAGCATGCCAGCCTGGTAGGCTATGGTGCTCGTGCCAAGGGCCATTGTTAATATTCAAACTAATGATTTATATGGTGTTTTGTCAGCAGGCTGGATTCAGCATAAAATATGACCCTCTTTGCTAACTGCGTGAACCGTTTGTAGTTTTCATGTCAACACCATTTAATTTGCTCTTCACAGCAGTCAATAAGGAGATGGGGGGCCGGTAGAGCTGGTCAACTGATGTAACTTTTGTTTTGAGCCAAAAGCCGCCACTGCAGCGCGTTCTCGGGTTTTGGTTTTGTTATGGGCATGACACCACTGTTGTAAATAAAATTTTCTAAACAACATTGTTATATGCATTGTCATTGTAGTTATTATGGCTTGCAGAAATTGGGGCAAGCAATACAATATTAAGGACATGCCACATCACAGGTTTTCATGATAAGTCACAACAGATCATCTCCATTGGGTCCCCTAACACCTTAAAATGTTTCCAAAGCATTTACCTTGTGCTTGCTTCATAATGGAGTCTAATAACAAGCAATAATGTATGTATGTATATATCTTTTAGTAATTTGTAAGGCGTCGCAAATCTATGGGTATGGGCCTGTGGCTTTCTGTGATGACCTAACTCTACAGAGTTAGACAAAAAATACAAATAGTGAACTCGAGGCTTTTTTGGTCATAGCAAGTAGGTGACCAAAAAACTTAATCTCTCGTCTGACTTCGATGTTGCAAAGCAAATAGGTAAAAGACATACTCGGGCGAAATTGTGACGTGTCGAGCAATTTTAGGTTGTAAAATATTCTTTACAAACTGCCCTTACCTAAGAAAAAGAGATTGCATAAAATAAACTTGAAAGCAGAGTGTCCTAAGTGAAGCCACACATTTCAGAAAGTGGAGTTGCACATTCCAGAATGTAAACTAAACGGGCCCCTATTTTTGCAGGCTGCGGCAACAGCCCTCTGAGTGAGTTGCTGTTCAGGGACGGCTTCCGGAACGTGGAGAACATAGACTACTCGGCTGTGGTCATTGACAACATGGCCTCCCACTGCGACCACTGCTCCCAGATGAAGTGGCATGTCATGGACGCCACGCAGCTGTGCTTCCCGGACTCCTCCTTCGATGTGGTCATAGAGAAGGCCACGCTCGATGCCATGATGGTCCGCGAGAGGGACCCCTGGAACCTGTCGGAAGCGACGCAGCTTCAGGTGGACCTCGTCCTCAGGGAGGTAACTGGAATCCTCTGTCCTCTTTGGAACCTTCTTCAGCTAAAGTCACTGGATCCTAGGGAAGTAGCCACATTGCCTTCCCTTCCTGCTAACAGGACACAAACAGATACTAACACATTAACGACCAACACCTCGTGAGGTGATTAACTGAATGCTGTCTGTTGTTATGGCAATCACCATTTTGGTCCTTGCAGACCTTTGAGTGCCAACTTGCCCGCATTGCCACCTTGATTCTGGGCTTGAGTATTTCATTTTGGTTCTACAAGGGCATCTGTGGCAGTGATGTATCGGATGTTGGTCATAGGGTTAGGCCCTGTTGATATGTCAACAAAAGACAAAAAGAAAAGAAAAACCGAGGTGGTGATGGAGGAGCAAAATTTTCTAAACTTCATAATTGCGGGAATCTTCGCTGCCAGCTGTATGCCCACATAGACATTGTTTTCCCGGTGTGGAGGTGCTGATGATGCTTCCACTTGAGATTCAGCTCTAGACGGGGGGGATGAGGCGATTCTTTCCTCGGCTCGAAAATTCTCTTTTCCTGACGGCTGTTTTTGTAGTCTATATGGTGTTTGTAAAGTGGTAGTGTGTAAACTTTGAGTTTAAAAATAGAGGTTGTTGAGTAAGGTATACGAGTATTCATTACACCCATACTAGCATTGGTTCTGTGAGTGTTGTTATTTGTTTCGTGGTTCATCGTGCCTTACAGATGTCGCATTCGTGCTACTGCAGCTATAGCAAAAATCTCTTCTCAAAGCTCCGGCATGTGCTTGCTCTTTCGAAAGGATTGCACCCAACCTATCCCTTCCCTCATCTTCGCAACTAGGATGTGCCTCCTTGGCAGTTGCTGTCAAGTTTTCATTGTCGGGGTTGTCGCCACCGGTATTTTACTTGTCAGATCTGCTTTACTGCCGTGGTAGATTCTCATAGTCAACTTTCCGGGACAAACTCCTTCTTCTTCAGGTTCAGATGATGCTAATCAAAGGATAATTGAAAGCGCCGAAATTTGTACGAAAAAAGAAAAGTTTGGTCCCGTTGAGCACGTTACGACGGGGCAGACGTTTAGTGACCAGTGCGGCCACGTTTAATTTCAATGACAAGCAATATACGGGAGAAGAAAAACTTGCATTAAAAGCATAACCCTTCAATCTATTTTGGTCCCAGAGTCGCATCTCCCTGAAGGTTCTCGCGCTTCTTCGTATATAGGCGCCGCGAGGGATCCCCCTTTCTCTCTAGCCAGCGCACACTCAGGCCCCGAGGTTACAGAAGTAATCACTTACTCATCCCAGTCTACAGCACTGAGTACTCGCAGCCTACAAGACCGGACGCAGCACATCCCGAGTGCGGACGTGAGTAAGCTTGGTGCTTCATGGCGTTGTGCGCTCACGTGTCCTATACCACAGTAGAATACATGCCCAAACCCAGGTGCATTTCGAGTGCCTACGTGAGCAGGCACCAGCGTCTCACGGTGCTCTGCATTCAGTGTAAGATTCCATGCCATGCGTACCGAAAGTACAATAGAAAAGAAACAGCCGACTGCGTCATGCACGGCTTGTAATAGAATACTCCGCAAGAAATGTAACACGGTACCTGCAAGAAATGCTCTCGTCAAAAGACGAATAGAAGAGAGCTCATTCGCTTCAAAGGGAAGCTGCCACGAATAAAATTTTTACCCTTTGGCGGAGTAAAAGAAATCACCCACAAGGCATACACAAAGAACACACAAAGAACAACAAAAAACCTCCAAACTTAACACTCATGCTGCACCGAAGCCTGCCTCAGTCGTGTACTAGTATTGGCAGTGCTGAAAGTATAGCACAGACTTATGTCCACCATCAACTGCAAATTCAAAATATACTCTTAGTGTCCCTTTTAAGTCACCGCAGTCCCTACCGTCACTCCGCAGGTGAGCAGGGTGCTGCGGGACGGCGGCCGCTTCGTCTCCATCACCTTCTCCCAGCCGCACTTCCGGGGCCCCCTGTACGCCAAGCCGGACTTCCGCTGGTCCCTGGAGACCCACGAGTTTGGCGAGGGCTTCCACTACTTCTACTACCTCATGACGAAAGGGCGGACGCTGCGGCCCGAGGCGGTGCTCACGTACCGCCCGCCCGTCGTGCGGAGACGATCGCATCCCAGCAGGAGCAGCGAGTCCGAGGGCGAGGATTTTCTCCTCAAGATTTGCACCTCTTGACGTCGTGGCGTTGTAGTGGTACAATGTGTGGAAAAATTTTATAGATAAACTATTGAACGGAATGGTGTTGATACTTTACACAAAAGTGTCTTTAGATGCTGCATTTATCATATGCAAATTTTATAAGTGTAGGTTTCAGAGGCTTGACGTCATCCCATCAAGTCTCTGGCCACTACAAAGAAGAGGGGAAGGAGGAATTCCCCTCTCGCCGGGACTTTCTTTTGTGTGTCCTAGACGTTGCTATTGTCCCTCTAAAAAATGATAAGATTATCCCGTCACTCAAAATTTGTACAAAAGCAACTTTCCCCTCTCTCTCTTCCATGGTGGTGCGAAATGGATTGATATGATGTCAGTGAAAAGCATGTATATACGGGGAGGAAAACAGCCAAAACCATTTGTTTATGCTGCTACTCGTGGATGGTGCCAGGCACGCCCAGATCTGCTGGATCTGCTTTCCGGTGTTCACCTCAAAGAAACTTTCAGGTTTTTTATTTACCTTGTGCCCTCTGCGAGTTAGCAGCGTCGACGGGACGGTTTTTGCCCTTTTCCTTTATCTGCACAAAAAAAAGTTTTTAAATTATTTTTTTTTTAACCTGCACTCCTGCATTTTGAATATGATAAATGCATTGCCTAAAGGCACCTTTGTGGAAAGTATAATTGCATCCAGTTCGTGGGTTTATTTATATGAATCTTTTTAATGTCCGAGTAGGGCTTGGAAACACCCCGTATGTACGGCAACTGCCGAAGCAGCGTTTTGATTGCTATTTAGTGTCAGCTTCGTTGTTGGCGGTGGCCTTTGCAAATACTCATCTGTTGGCTTTTGAAGCCTCCAAGTACCTAATCTTTGGCATGGCAAGCTTTGCACGCCGTTCTGGTTGAAATGAAAGGGAGACCTGTCTGAATCTTCCCGCACTGCTAGAGAGGTGGCAGTGTACCATATTTAGAAATTTTTGGGAGAACGATTCTTTTTACATTAACGAGAGCTATTGTCATATTGTCTACTATCATACATCTATATTTTACATAAAATGGTGATGGGTGCTTGCTCTCAGTAAATGGAGGTATAGGGCACAATGCAGTCATCACAAACGTGCAATTGGCAGCTTTTGTGGGTTTCTCCCAAGACTATAAGGGCTGCTCCCGAAATTGGCAATGTGGTAGAAGATGCTCATTCAGAGCACCAACTTCTGTTGATCACTGCCCCGTCTGGGTCAAACACGAAAAAGTGCCATGTCATGTTTGTTCTGTGTCGTGTCGGGTGCAGATGTTCGTGATAGCCTATATCTCCGATTGAATATGCTGCAGTTTTAAATATATGTTGCTTTTAAACGTAGGTTCAAGAGTAAAATTGTTTAGTGAAATCGGGTTTTACTCAGATATGAAGCAGCCAAAGTACAATCGGATAGTCCAAGTAATGTGAAAGCGCTTGATTCTCAACCCCAATCCTAAAAATCGTTCAACATGAAGAAATACACCGGGAATTTTATTTTTCATCTTCATCACATAGCTACCTAAGCTTTCCTTCTTGGTTCTGTTGGTGTTTTCGTGGGCTAGATTTTTTAAGGAAAGCATTCCAAAAAGTTTCATTGTAATCCTTCAGGCTGGGAGGTAGAGGATTCACTATTTCGCGGAAGTTACAAAAACAACGAGTAACTGGAGCAGTACTTTGTATAAACTATATTTTGAATACACTCTTTAAACAAATTAATATTCCCTAAATGCCCATAAAGTTATAATTCTAAAACGTCTTGTAAAATATATGCTTTCAGAAATACAGAACCATGCATGGTTCAGACGTCTTTAGATAAAAGTGATTTTGTTAAAGTTTGTCCCCAAGCAATTGGGGCCATATATAACTTGCCATTTATGTATGTTTTTTGCACATCTGTTGGAACTCTGATGTGCACATCTCTAGGAAATCCAGTACATCTCCTATTTGGATGTACAGAAATGGATGTCCTGTGTACACCTATGAATGGAAGTTCTGCGGATATCTGCTGAAAGTCTGATGTGGACATCCCTAGGACATCCAGTTCATCTATGATTTGGATGTACAGAAATGAATGTCCTATGGACCTCCACGGATGGAAGTTCTGCGGATATCTGTTGAAAGTCTTTTCTGGACATCCCTAGGACATCCGGTACATCTCTGATCTGGATGTACAGAAATGAATGTCCTGTGGACCTCCACGGGTGGAAGTTCTGCGGATATCCGTTGAAAATCTGATTTGGACATCCCTAGGACATCCAGCACATCTCCGATTTGGATATACAGAAATGGATGTCCGGTGTACGTTCTACGGACGTCCGCTTCAGGCACAGGATATTTATACCTTCCATGGATGTCCGACGGATATCCGTGGTTTGTTGGGTACGTCATTGTAAGTACTTTGGGAGAAGTGCCCTATACTTATCTTGTCACTCTGGGAGCATTTTGTTTCTGGTAGTGGTATTGTCGGATTAGGAAAGTTGTTTTTTAACAGGCTGAATGCATCTGGTGTTTTAGTATGTGATTGCAGGAATGTTGTCAGCTTGTTCGGAAGCTTCTTTTAAACATTTATATCGTGAAAGTATGTCTTCATTGAAAAAAAGTATTTTATGGGTGCAGAGTAGCTATAACGATATGTGAAATGACTTCCACCCATCGGGTGCAATTCCATGTATGACCAAGTAATTTTATGCCACGAATTTTAAACATTTTACAAAACGAAAATAAACTTGCAATGTCTAGTGGCAGAGATACACAATTTTGGCACAATACATGTATCTACATCATTTGTATACATATATGTTGTTGTTTTGTATCTTTTATGGCTTGTTAACCGATGTAAGGGGTACTGTTTTGGTGTTTCAAAATAAATATATCCATTTTCCATTCTTACACTCGTTGCTTGCTTGCCACTCTACGTGCGAAAACGTCTTTGGCACAGAAAGCACCTAAAGTCTGGTTCAAGCAGTACACACTATTTGGCAATGGTTCGAGCGAGTGTTTAGCCATGGCCTCCGAGATTTCTTGCACGCTGGCTGCGCTTTTCAGGCCATTGCATTCGCCGGTAGAGACTAACTCTGGGCACTTGGCGGCGCTTGCAAACTGAGCCGTAGGATGCCACAGAATGGTTGCAAACGAGGCCGTCCAAGGAGATCTCGGATGGTCATCGTTCGAGGCCAGAGAAGCAAGCAGTAAGATCGGGTATGACGGGTGGCTGCGACTCGTGGACAGGAGTCGGTGGGTCAAGAGACTGTTTGTATATATATCTCTGACAGGAGTGCAGACCAAGTGGAGAAAGCGACTGCCAGCTGGAGAAAAAATGTTGCTTCTGCGCTGTGCCCGTGGTTACCACCACAGAGCAGAGGTGAGAAATCTAGGTGCGGAAGAGGGTGCGTGAGGAGGAGGCCTTGCTGTGGGCAGAAGCGGCCTGGCCAAAGTCAACCCTGAAGCTGGACAGCCTCCGAAAATATGAAATATCGGCGGAGAACACCTTGTATGGCCATAGCCTGGGCAGCCACCTGCTTTTTGAAGTATACGCTGTAGGGCTGCAGAGAATATCGGTGTACCGACAGCGCTTCGATTGGAGGGTGGAATCGACATCATGCCGGGCATGTAGATAAATGCCCGAAACCATCGTGCACATTGTGCTTTCCTGTCTAAGCTGTCAGCAGCTGGGGTGATGCCAAGGCCTGGACATCACGGCGAGCAGTGCAAGGACTCTGCCGAAAGGACTAAATGGCAGCTGGAAGATCGGTGGAGATGGACACAAAAACAATAAAAAAACTAATTTTTTTTGTGGCTAGGTTCAATGCATTTTAGACCGCCCGATTAAAAGGGAACAGCCTCAAAATTATCATCATCATCAACAATGCAAAGAAATAGCCGCCTAACGGAACTTAAGGCGTGCTTAAAAACAGCGTGAAATGTGCTCCCTGCCTCTCACCACAAGACCTTTGGCAAGGAAGAAGTTGATTGAAATTTGAAAATTCATCTTTTCAAAGTGTGAATGGTGTAGAAAAAATGTTTGTGCATGTTAAGTGATGTCCAGGAAGCTGTTTTCATGCACGATGACAAAAATATTTTTATGCCTGTCCCGCCGGCCCAAATAGTATTTGCAAAGGACAAATATATTGCATTAAATCTTGCATTCTGATGTATCATCCAGCGAAACTGTATGAAGACCGGAGCAGCAAATATAAGTTACGATTCGACAGAGACAGACGAAAGGCATGGTTCACCCATTTGTATTGGTTGCTCTCGGACCAGCCGAAAAGACAACAACGGCAAAGTTGCCAGGACATGTGTTCGCCGTACCACAGCCTCCTTTATACCCGTGCACAACATGGCAAGCGATGTCAGACGTAGCTTAGCAAAGCAATCGTGAGTCACAGTTGTTCCGGTCGTTTCTGTTTGTGAACCAGACTTCACCTGTCTCTATTCTGATGACGGGAACAACAAAAATGCAAGCTACATGCCGTGGGCTCACAATTGACAGCGTGCTTTGAGGTGAGGCAGTTTATCTGGGAGGCCGATGGTGGCGCTGCTGTCGACTCCTTCTGAAGCGTCCTGCATCCCGGCTACGCCCAGCCGCGCGTTTGCGTCCGCCTTCGGTGTTGGCAATGAATGAGTGACTGCAGTTTGCGTGTGCTTGTCTGCGTGTCTTTGCCGTGTGGTCACTGTGATTACTGTTGCTTTGCGGTTTTGTTCTTTGACTCAAATGCAAGAATGCCTCATTGCTGGCGAGACTACTGCTTTGTGCCTGGCTGAAGGACAGGGTATGCTCATGTGGAGGAACTGCCAAAGGTGTTTTTGTTTGGTGTACCCAAAGACAAGGAGCAGCGAAAATTGTGGTATAAGAACTTGCATTGCACGCACAAGACATTGGACGAGACCTCCGCTGTGTGCAAAGTACATTTTGAACCTCGGCACGCAATTAGTGCTTACGTGCACATCATCAATGGTGAAGGAGACGTATGTATTCAGTGTGGGAAACCAATGCTTTCGGCCGACGCAGTTTCTATGATTCTTCCCAGCTAGTTGACGAAGAAAACACTGACGCACACATGCGCTGATACGCACGTGATTGCAGAAGTATGCGGGGAAGGTTTCAGGAATCGACCGGAGCTCCATCTCTCAATTTAGACATGAACTGCCTCAGCAAGTGGTGCTGTGAGCCCATTACCCCATTCTAAGCCACTAGCCATGAATTAGCAGACAGTCCTTTTTATTAGAACTTGTTTCATGGGTATCGTTTCGTCAGATAATGCTTAGTAGTTGCGAATGACAGCTGCTGCTTGGTGACAAACATGTACGTACTGTTCCATCAACAAATTGTTAACATAACTTAAAAAAAGAATATTGGTCATTGGTTAATTTAACATTACAAATGAAACCGAAGATTACTATATTCCTACTACTTGCTGTTGTCGAGAAAAACAAATTCGCCTAGGCGAAAGCGGTGGGTGGCTAGGCAACTAAAATGGTGGCTGATGTGATGTCAATGCAAACCATGTTAAATCTTTTTACCTTCGGGAATTACAACTGAAAGCTGGTTCACGTAAAACTTGCAATTTACAAAACTTAAAAAAAGAACAAAAAACGCAGTCATTGTAGCTGTTGATTTTGTAACTATACTGTTTTTCACGTGGACATACAAGTGAAATATACATACTGCAGAAACTACAAAGGGGCGTCACACCGGTTACACAGCGCGAGCATCGTGATCTCCAGTTTTTGCCACCCTGTTCGTGACTGCGCTCGAATTAAGGCGTTTCGCGATACGCGCAGCTGGACAGCGTCTCCTTGTACACCCGCCGGCAATATGAAGGTGAACACCTTACCTGGTTTATTGCCTGTTTTGTGGCTCCCTAAAGCTATATTAACTCTCAACGTCTCAAATGGTACTATCGGGGAAAAATGAAATGCGAACAGAGGCAGAGGAGTGCGTGGCTCGTGGTACAGGCTGCGCCGCCTGGAAGTGAACCTAGGGGCGAGGGTGCGTGGCCTACTTCAATGTGTGCGCGCCCCTCGATTTACGCTCCGCCAGCTTCGGCAGTGCGCCTCTCAGTGCGCTGAAAGCTGTCACCGCTATCTTTGCCTGCTCGGCGAGTGCGGCGAGCTTCTTCGCACCGCACGCGCTGAGCCAGCAAAGATAGCGGTGATCATACCTCGGCAAACCTCACTCATGAGGGCCCTCACTCACCCTCACTCACCCTCATCTTCACAGGTGAGGTGAGGGTGAGTGAGTTTCTGAACCAGGAAAATTCATGAGTGTGAGGGTGAGTGAGGGCCGTGAGGGCTGTGAGGGCGGTGAGGGCCGTGAGGGCCGTGAGGGCGGTGAGGGCCGTGAGGGCCGTGAGGGCGGTGAGGGCCGTGAGGGCCGTGAGGGCCGTGAGGGCGGTGAGGGCCGTGAGGGCGGTGAGGACGGTCAGGGCCGTGAGGGCCGTGAGGGCGGTGAGGGCCGTGAGGGCCGTGAGGGTGGTGAGGGCCGTGAGGGCCGTGAGGGCCATGCAACTCGGAGCAATTCGAATGCGTTTGAAGCGGCTGCATCCAATCAGGGACGCAAAATTTTCACGTGATACCTCGTGCCGGTGATGATGACACCGAAAGACTTGGTTCTGGTTTGAAATCGATCGTTTTTTTGGAAATAAACTGTTTCAGAAAGGTGCATTAGTATTCTTAACGAGATTTAAATAAAAACACGTTTATAACGCGTAATTGTGTCTAAATAGTGCAAGAAAAATAAAATTTTATGATGACGATGGCAAATTGCAGCAATTGGTTGCTGCGTGTGATCGCGGGCGGCCCGTGTTGCTGGTGTTGCGACGTAAAGTTTCTGAGCGAAATTGCCCCATCTGAAGCTGGCCTGAGTGGCGTGAGGACCATCAGTGCGTGAGGGGCGTGAGGGGTGTGAGGGCCGCAAGGGCGGTGAGGCGCTTGAGGGCGGTGAGTGGCGTGAGGGCGGTGAGGGCCGTGAGGGCGGTGAGGGCCGTGAGGGCGGTGAGGGCGGTGAGGGCCGTGAGGGCCGTGAGGGCCGTGAGGGCGGTGAGGGCGGTGAGTGGCGTGAGGGCTATGAGTGTGTGAGGGCCGTGAGGGCCGTGAGGGCCGTGAGGGCGGTGAGGGCCGTGAGGGCGGTGAGGGCCGTGAGGGCGGTGAGTGGCGTGAGGGCCATGAGTGAGTGAGGGGCGTGAGGGCCGTGAGGGCGGTGAGGGCGGTGAGGGCCGTGAGGGCCGTGAGGGCCGTGAGGGCGGTGAGTGCGTGAGGGCCGTGAGGTTCAGTGAGGGTGAGTGAAGGGCTGAAGGTTAGTGTGACTGTGAGGGTGAGGGTGACTGAGGGGCTGAAGGTGAGTGTAGCTGTGAGGGTGAGGGTGAGTGAGGGGCTTAGGTGAGTGTGGCTGTGTTGGTGAGGGTGAGTGAGGGCGACCTAAAATGCCGACCTCTGGCGGTGATAGCTTTCAGCGCACTAAGAGGCACACTGCTGAAGCTTGGGGAGCGCAGAGGGAGGGGCGTGAACACGTCGGAGTAGGCCACGCACCCTCGCTCCTAGGCTCACTTCCAGGCGGCGCAGCCTGTAGCGCGAGCCACGCGCTCCTCTGTTCGCATTTCATTTTTCCCCGATAGTACGTGGCTTGGGGTCTAAACCACTGTGGACTGTGGTCTAAACTTTGCGTTCTAGCCCTAGCTCTTCTGGAACAGAGCTTGTTCCAAAACTTGCAGGAGCATCAAAAACAAGAAGGGGGCTGTTCACCTTCATATCGCTCACGGGTGTACCTTCTTTCTAAAGAAGACAAAATACACACACGTAGGCTCAATGAAGTAAATTTATTTTGAACGCTACTAAAAAAATATCGATTAAAAAAGATATGGATGGCACTTGGCACGTGCTCCCACCTTTTGACTGTAAACAAGCGTTTGAAATCCGCGCGTTTTTAACAAAATAGCCGTCAGACACATCAATGAAATGCGAAGAAGTACTTTCTTTGGAATAAGCACTTAGGAACGACGGCTAAACTTTAGAAGTATCGTATTACCTTTTAGGTGGATATAAAATACTGGCGTTTTTTAACAGCGGACGTTGCAGGCAGCACCGGGTTTTGAAATAGGCAGACCGCGCATGCGTAAAACGCTCATTTTTTTTTTTTTTTTTTTAATTTGGTTGGAACGTAGGGAATAGCAAAATTTCGGTTTCTCCATCCCAGATCAGGCGGTCGGAGTCATTGACCCACGGCTGTTTCAATGAGCGGATTTAGTTTAAACGTGGTCGCGAGGAGCTTGAACGAATGCCTCGCCACGCCTCAGGAGATGAAGATAGACCCGTACTTGGCGGCTTTCAAGGAGCTTCAGAAGTAAGCGAAGCCCGGATTGCTCGTTAACCCGCTTCCTACGCCCGATCGTGTTTGTGTCAGATGAAAATTACGTAATGCAATCAATTTAACCCGGGATGTTTCATATTCCGTTTCTAAACGCAGACGTAAAGGGGGGCTCTATTCTATGGAAACTACCCGAGTAACAATACACGATCACCTTGATCCCGGTCACAGATGTTATCGCAGCTGATAGAATGAAGTCCAGTGTTTCGATAGTGGCAACTGGTACACTTTCAAGCGGATAAATCTTTTGTAGTTTCTTCTTGCGTTATTTTCTTCGTGCTGTAACCGCCATCGACACGCGATCGGCGTGAAGACTGCGATCGTGCTTTTTGAAACTAATATCTGCTTGTCGAGGCAACGGAACGTTTCACGTCGTCGAACACGGAAATAAGAGAGCTAGGTTATATCACAAAACAACGTGTGAAGATCGGCTTTGTCCTCGAATGCATAGCAGTGTTGCTTAATTGCCAGTGCGCACTGTGGCACCTCATCCTTCGGGGAATAGCGCTCAGATTATGTAGCAAATTGGGCCAGTTGGTTTTGAGCTGTTCATCGTCGGAATGTTTCATAGTGGCTCCAATGCATGACTTGCATATCATTATAGTGCTGGCGATTGTCCCTGTTTGCTCGACGTTGGTATATAATGCGCAGTAGAGAACATAGCAGAAGAAGCTTTTGAAGTAGTGAACGAAGCAACATCAGTGCCAGCTATCGATGGATGGTAATCTCACAGAAAGGTTGGCAAGCATCTGGGGCATCTGCGTACAGCTGTTGCCATTTCTCTGGCTCTGCTAGAGCTTACAAGTAGGGCTCTCTGTGTGTTGTATGTCATGCAATGTATACCACTATACCATCAATTTCCTTAAAGGGGCCCTGCAAGGACTTTTTTACATTTTTTTTTAATCTGCACCTAACCTGAGCGCACTGAACGTAGTAACTTAATGAAACCTCGATGCTGCAGGTTCTTCCACGACCTGGGCACTGTGTTTGGCTTCATCAACTCTGACCTGGACAGCAAGATTGTCATCATGGAGGAGTACCGGGCCAACCCCAAGGTGGCCAAGCACTACGAAGGGCTCTGCTCTATGATTGCCTTTGAGAAGAGCTCCAAGGCCATTGAGGACCAAAGCAAGCCGTCCGGGTCCCGCACGCTGCTGCGGCTACACAGGGCCCTCGAGTTTGTCGCCCGACTCTTCCAGTGAGTCCCTCGGATAGCACTCTGTTTTCTTCCTTTCTGCACGAGGAGGGTTCCACGCAGGGCTCAACACGAAAAGTCGTAATGTCCCTAGCAGACGCCTGAAATGTCCTTCGCTTTCTTAAATAATTATGTAATACTAAATATCTGTTGTTTTCTGCATCACTTCCATTTTTACGATGAGATATATACTATATGGCCTTTACTTGTGCGCACACGCTTCGCAAAAATGACTTTATCAGGCCAAAACCGTAGCCAAGCAAATTCGGCGAGGGAAAGTGTTACCGGGAGATTCAAACTGACGAATGAAACCATCGTGACATGGTACTGCTTTAATAACTTCATTACCACTTTTTATAATAGTCAGTCTAAAGCAAAAGGTGTAACACAAGCCAGAGTTCTCGAACACACGGAACACGACAGACAGTAAGTAGCATTTTGTGCACGGCACTTCACAAAATACTATTAGTCATGGTAAGTCTATCTTCAGACATCGCAGTATTTCTTCTTGCACTCACGCATTCTTTTTCGAGAAGGTACGGCAGCACTCTCAGAAGCTTTGACTTGGCTGGTCCCTTCCTTCATAGTTTTCACGAGGGCGAAGAAAAGTTGCAAACTGATTTTGCCGAAAAAAGTTGTTAGGCGCTCCAGTCAGTGTTGCCAGATGGTCAGACAACAAACCCTACCTTGTTGAACAAACTGCCAAACGGCTGGAGGCAATAATCCAAATGTAGCCAAAGCCGCTGAAAGTTGATGTATCCTAGAAAAGAATCATAATTGACCTATAAAATTCCAAATATATACAATGCCCAAAATTTTCCTCAAACTAGCAAGATTTCCCTTATTCCCACACAGACCTGAGTATTTCCTTAATCTGGGAAATTTCCCCCAGGTGGGCAGCCCTGGTTCCACGTGGAGCATCCCATGCTAGGGGCTGCCGTATACTCCAATGCATTGTTTACGAACAAACCTGTGTATGTCCATGCAGGTGTTGGCTCTGCACGCGCGCAGAAACCAGATTAGCGCGAGATGAAACATCCGTGTGTGCGCAGTGCCGACAGGAGCGCCACTGCAGGGGAGTCATGTTGAAGAGTTGAGTTGGTGTATAGACCTTTCCAGCGGCAGTCTCGAATGAAGCGGTTTACAGCGTGCGTTCTGAGGGTGTGCGTCAGTGTTGGCCGAATGCGCTAGGCTGTGGGTTTTCTCGTCGGTGGGCTGTGGCAGCCTGCGTAGGCGCTAATCTGGATGCTGGTGGCGGCTAAATTGTTGTGCTTTATGGTTTCTTTTGTGTTCAATGGCAAATAGAATTACTCTAGGTTTTTATGAAAGCGTTGTACTATTTTTGGGAACAAAAACAAGCAAATGAAAGCTATTTCTGGTGAGTCCGTGCGCGACAGAACGAATGCAACTTTTATGTTTGTTTTATTTTGATTTCTTTACGACACCATACACTCACCCGTGTCAATCTACAAAGGTCTCAACTGTCGAAAATTTTTCACCAGAAAGGATAGTCGAGATGCGTGGGTATTCCTCGCTCACAACGTGAAATTCAACGAGTCTTATCTTTACGTGACCCACAGTGCCGCGCTATCCGAGCGGGATTTGAGAGAGGTCTCAAATAATGCAGCATATCCAATATACAGTGTCGACGACAGTCACTTCATGACGATCTGACAGTGTGAGGCTTGTTTTGGGGCGCGTTTTGAAGAGAGCTGCTTTTTTTGCATAGCACCAAAGCAAACGAACGAACTTGTTTATTCCGTCCCCATACCCTGGACCCGATCCTATCAGCAATTTTTCGCTAAAACCGGGAACATAGCTGGGAAGGCTTTTCGGAGGTTATCTCAACGAAAATAGTCCCTGATGAACATCGAACCGCCCACGTTGTGCGGGCTGCTTGACGTTGCCATCTTTGTTCGTTTCCTGCAAAGGCCAAGCAGGCTATGAGCTTTGGTATTCGCTGGTTCTCACGGTGGAAGATAACAAATAAAGGGTACGCATCCTGAACAGGCAAATAAAGTAAAAGCTTTTGAGAAAAGCCGGCAGACTTCGAATGCAGAATGCAGGTGGGGAGACGCGCTGACCGGTTTTCCACAGCTCAGGTGGGCGGCAGAATTTTCTGGCCGATGGGAGTCGTTCGAGTCGCAAAATGGCGGCGGCCAGAGAGCTCTTTTTGCAGAGGTCTATAGGCTGGTTCGCACACTCGCGGCTGCTTAGGACAGAGTGCCTCGAAACCTCTTAAGATCTTTTGTGACGAGGGAACACGCTGCTGCCATCTAGTACCGGGTAGCTAAAGAGCATTTGGCATTTTCGTATGTTTCGTATTTTTTGCACTCATCATTCTTTCTTTGCTGGCTCGGAAAATCTTTTTACAATGCTATAAACAACCATTCCTCGTTGGTAGTGTGGTCACTTTATCTCGCAAATACTGCAATACCTTCACCCTAGCGAAATGCAGTTCCGGGGTCACCTCACGGATGGTGCCAGTGTGCCAGTGTTGTAAGACATTGCAACAACTCGGTCGTAAGCAAATGCGAGCATAGGGTGACCACCCGTCCCGCGACTCGCGGGACTGTCCCGCATTGAGGGCTTGTGTACCGCGTCCCGCAAAAAATTCCCAAATCTTCAAAATGTCCCGCATTTCACGTTGTCGTAACATTCACTACACAAATTATGGCACTTCCGAACAACGGGGTACGGTGAAGCGCGGAGGTCGCTGGTAAGCGTGTGAATCTCAATGGTATGATATTTTCTATCCAAGCACTACGGGAAGCGACCACCGTTCTTGCAGGGGACCGACGCGCATGAGCCATTGTGCCTCTCCCCTTAATGGCAAAATATAGCAAGCGAAAATTGCTCGCAAAAAGTTGAAAGGTAAACTATTGGAATTATTTGCAAATCATACTGTGTCATGCAAAAAAAATTGTTGTAATAAGATTTTTTTTTTGTGAAGACAGTTACACAAGGCAAAATGTCTGCAAAACCCAACGGTCGAAAAAAAACCAAAAAAAAACCCAGGTTCTAATTTTGTGTGGGAGCATGTTAGTATAGGAGTAAGTATCGACAGGAAACAATAAGCCGAAAAAGATTTACTGTTTCTTAGTTCCTTTTGATCCATTGGGGTCTGCTGCAGTCGATTTTTATGTTTTTAACTTAGACACCTTGAATAAGATATTTACCATTACAATTGCCGCAACATAGTTTTCAGTTGTATAATATGCTTTCCGACAGCACAGGATTTCGGGATGGGCGTGTTGATGAGTTTTCTTTAATACTTTTTTCTTCAGTCGTGAAAGTGAAGTCCTCTTCATCTTACCCCCCCCCCCCCCTCCCCCGGTCAAGGTGTCCTGCATTTCGACGGCAAAAAGGTGGTCACCCTATGCGAGCATGTGAACGGGCTTTTAGAATCTTGTTACACGACCATTTCGTCCGTCCTTGGGCGAAAGGGATTTGGCGGCCCTAACTGCGATTTGGGTAACTGAACTAAGATGGTGCTGCTACCCTGCTATTTCGATCCCAGTTGAAGCCAAACCGAAACTAAATCTGGTGCAACACAATCTGTCTCTAAATACTGAACTAAATTTCTTACGGGCATTTTTTATCGTTGACAAAAATGTAAACTCGGTAAAGTTTTGTAAGAAAAATCTGCACTGTACTCGTAGATTGTTCCTGCAAAGAGCACTTGTGCTCTGTTTTACTTGCAAGCATAGTTGAGGCTGCAAGAGCAAGCTCCGAGCCATTAGTGTACCTGCCAAGCACGCAGGCTCGTGCATTGCGAGCATCAATCGGGGCAACGTGCGCACGCTTGTAGCTTTAACTTCACTCTTGCATAAAGCGAGACAAACTGTAGTGGGTGCCACCTCAAGAGTTTTATTTGCGTAGTATTTATAGGGCTAGCCTCGGAAGCTTAGTGTCTGTGGCGTGTAGCCTCGATGATGTCATGGTGTCGCGTGACATTGTGACTTCACATGCTACTGTGACGTCGCGTGACTTTATGATATCACATCACACATTGATGGCTTTGTGATGTCGATGTTGTCGACGTAGTTGTAGTGGGGCACAGCGTGTCCACCGTCAATGTTCCCAAATCCTCGAAAAAGATTACCCGCGGGATTGGAACTTGGGTCCGCTGCGTATGAAGCGGAGGTGTTACCGCTGAGCTGCGCCACAGCGTTAAGAACCCGTTTTATATCTAGGAATTTTGTAATACCCGATGCCCACTCAACGCGCTCTCTGGAAAAAACAAAGAAATAGCCAATAATAAAATGTCACCGTAGCACTGTCAGTGCCAAGCGCTCGTGCAGGGAGACACATTTTCGTGCGCTTTGGAACAAAAGAGAAGCAAAAACGTTTGAAACAAAATGGTCATATGCTAATTTTGTTTCAAATACTTTTTTTCACACACCCCACCGTGCACAAATGTGACGCAGAGGCCCAGCAACTCCGCCGTGACGTGTTGCATCTATCGCTGTTACTGAATTGTGAATCGACACAGGACTGCTCGTTTTTTATGCAAGGTGCAAACTTCGCTAAACTTTTGGAACTAACAAATGTGCGTGCTCGGCTGTGGAGATTGTGGGTTGTAGTGGTGTATAGGTGACGTTGAAAAGCAGTGCCAGTATGAAAGCGACCTTGGCGGGTTTTGGGCGGAGGTGTGACTATGGACGTGGCACTTCCTCGCCAGGCGTCTGAGCACGGCTAACGACGACACGGGCATGGGCGGCCTGGCCCAGGAGAGCTACGAGGAGACCCTGGCGAGGCACCACCCGTGGCTCATCCGCAAGGGGGCCACCTGGGCCCTGCTGGCTCTGCCCACCCTCGGGAAGGTGAGGCTCTAGAACTGGGGCTTTTTTGGGGCTCTGAGCACGGGCACAGTGCCTGGGGTTCCATTTCGGTCTCTGCGAAATCAAACTTTTTTCTCGTGAAGCGAGCGAAGATAGGAATTGTAGACAGTCCGTCTGCTAATGCGGTCGAAAAATGTGGTTCGTCCACTACGAAGCATCGTTCGCAGACGGAAGCAAAACAAGCAAACACCCTACGTTGTCTGCTAACAGTCCGAAAAAAAAAGAAAAAAAAATATATCAATAGTCGCTGCGAATTGAGCGCCACAGCACAGTGAGATTGGGCGCTGGCTGAAATTGTGATCATCTGCTATTTCAAGTTGGAAGCCATTGACAACCTGCACTTTGTTTATAAATCTCAAGTTGTACTGCTGCCGTACACAAGCCGACATTGACCAGCTGGATGAAGGACTATGGACAAGCGCACCAGAGTCTGCGAGACTTCTTTATTGGTGAGATGTTTTCACCAACATATTGCCCGACTGCGAACTGGCAGACGGGTCAAAAATGTCTCATTGGTTTATTACGCTCCAGTTGTGGCGCCATGTCCGATCCGCAGCCGCGAACATTCTCGCCGTCACTTTGACCGAAAGTGGACCCTTGGAGTGCGCCTCCAACTGTTGTGTTTAGCGTCCTAGACCTCCAGTGTGTCGTAGTAAGTGGACGAGGAAAACAATGCAAAAGTTTGCCCTTTGTTGCCTACTTTCTCTTTGTAAGGAGCTGCGTTATGGTCGTCTGCTTTTTAACTGAAATCTGTGGGATGGCATCAAGTTTTTCAAGCCCATGCAAGTGCTGCACCATGTGCGAATTGTTGGGGGTGTCGTAGCAAAATTTCTCAACGTATCAAGAGCCTTCGTGGCCGCTCTTACTGTGTGATACGCAGGGGCCCATTCAGAGAAGCCCCTGAAAAATGCGGAGGGGGTGGGTGGAGAAGGGAAGGAGAGTAGAAGAGGGTGGTTCATATTTAAAAAAAAAAAAAAGTGAGGGGGGTTTGTTGGGGGGAATTCATTTAGGCATGAAACCTAAACAAATTTTTCGAGGCGAGAAGTATAGCGTCTGTGTTTGTTACACGTGTAATCGTAGCAGTCCCCTGGTCGCGGTGGCTTTGCGGCGCAATGGCAAACTCCAAACCCCAAAAGAGGTACTTTCAGGTATTCTTTAAGTCCTACACGTCGGAATTCCCGTGCCTTGTGCCGTCCAAAAAGGGAGAGAAGTTTGGATTCTGTACCAGGTGCACGTGTGATGTAAGCGTTTCGCACGGTGGCAAGGCTGACATTAAGCAGCACATCAGTTCGCGTAACCCCCCCCCTGCAGTTGCGGGAGTTTTACGAATTTGAAAGTCGACAGGTTGGCAGGTATGCAAATGGGAAAGGCCGCAGACCCCAATCCAAGCCTTAAGCCTTAAGCATCCGAAAGTTCACATACGTACGAGCTCTGGGGGCACATCTGCCCTCGGAAGGGGCAGCAGCTCAGCGAGCAAGCCTGCTTGGACCGTTTGCGCATCAAGGCAGGCCCACCTAAATGTCTCCTGCCTCATCCCCAGTCAGGTCGTGACGCGACGTAACCTGTGAAAAGTCTTGCTGTCACTTCCACGACTGGCCAGAATGAAGTCGAAAAGGCATCCTATAAATCGCCTCCGTAGTTTTCTAGCATCCACCCCCCTGAAGGGAGAGTCCTTCCTCTGGCCCTTTGTTGATTGTTGGGATGACGCGAAGCAACAAGCTGCCTTGGCTCAGCAGATACGAATCGTAGTGCTCATTATCTTGCCTGCCAGCATTCCCGGTGTCAACTGCTATCCCCGCAATATTTCTGACACTTGCTGTCAAAAACCCTTCTGCTCCCTGGGCCTCGACCAGCACTTACTTGCTCACCGCATCACCCCAAGTCACGATCTTTGGTCTACTCGTCCAGTGTCCTAAATCTGCAACATGTCCTGGCTGTTTCGCCTTCTGCCAGCCGTTATCCCGCCTTTTAACGAACATCCGACGGCTCTCCTCGGCCTCCGAAGACGACCTACTCACACCTTACCCGCGCTCGTCGTAACCCCCCGTTGACATCGCCTCCTCTGAACCGTTATTGTGGGGTGCTCGAGAGAGCGTGTCCGCAACCTTGTCTTTTGAGTTCTTTTGATACTCGACTCGAGGAAACACCTGCTGGGCTCTGTTGTGAGATAAGCCGCCAAAATTCCAACAGATTGTCTCAACGGGCATTGTTAGCGTTAGCGAACAGCCCACTCAATGAATCCGTGGGACCCCCGGGGATCAACAGAAGCATAGGCATATTGACTGGGCCCCACGGCGGGCGCCATTTTTGTGGCGTGTCCGCTATATAATAATCGCTGCCCGATCAGTCTGCGCTTAGCTCATCTCCCAAGGAGTGATACAACACACTGAGAGGACAGCAAATAGGTTTACTGCACTTTCCGATTGCCCGTCCTCGAATGCCGGCAGTCCGGACTAGCGTGTGCCCAGTTGTCGCCCGTCGTTCAGAGCTCGCAGTCAAAGTCCATGTCCAGGCCTGCGGATCGTCCTTCCCAAGCCAGCGCTGCGTAAGCTAGTTTCCCCGGGCTATCATAGCCCGAGTATTGCTGCAAAACCATCCCAGGATCGTCATAGCCCAGGCCGGAATGGCCAGGGCTTACTGGTCTTGTTCCAAACCCGCTGGTGGACTGCTCCAGGGATCGCCATGGACCACACCAGCCAGAACGGCTCTATCGTTCTTGCCAGGCCCCAGCCTCGCACTGCACGCTGTGCAGTGCCAGCTCGTGTCTCTTTGCCCGACCGCCTGTCACGTGCCCCCCCGCCCCGTCGTCTTCCTCGCTCGTCTCCCACAAGCTTAGCACTGTTATGCCACTGTACAAAAATGCGCATGGAGCAGACAAACTCTTGGCGTGTTGGCCCTCTACAAAATCCTGTCAAGAACATTGGTGATCCCCATACAGTTGACTCATTAATTCCAACTCGAGGAAGCCCCGAACTTTAGTTCGAAATATCAGAAGCTTGAATTATCCGAAATTTATGTAAATATGATGTGAGGCAAAGTAGCAAATCTTTATAGGAATAGCTACACATGTCAAGCCTATTTTTTAAACTTTTTTTTTTGCACAGGCGTATTTGTAAGCAGACACACATATAAGACATTGGTGAAGTTCAAACAAATAGTGGTTTTGGCCGAATATTTTGTAATCGAAAATAGAATACTTCCTCCGAGCCTTTTACTACCGTCGTACCATGCACAAAAATTCTGAGCTCTTGAAGGTTGTTCCCAACCTTCTACTTGTCCATTTCTAAGCTCAGTTAGTTTTAATATAACTAGTATATCTATGAACCGTGGCCTCAAAAAGTCCAATGCCTACATTGGGGTGGGATGTAGACGGGGGAAAATCCAAGGGGGGGGGGGGGGGGGGGGCAACGGGGGTGGCCACCCCCCCCCCCAAACAAAGTCGACCCCTCCCCCCTTCTCGGAGGCCAGTTTGACATGGGTGAACTCTCCGTCGCACACGAAAGTATGGGAGAATAGTATCGACATCTTGTAAACCCTGAGATGGGGAACGATAAAAAAACAGACGAACAGAAAAACAAGCACGCATAATGAAAGCAGATTGTCAAGACAGTTCTGCTCGCATAAACGCGGTGGGTTAGTCCCATCGAGTGCTCTTCTCACTAAGCCCCCGCGTAGTGCGGAAAAGCAATGACTGCAAGCTTCAAGGGCATTGCTTTCCCGCAGTACTCAGGTGCTTAGTGAGAAGCACTCTGAATGGGACTAACTCATTGTGATGAAGAAATAATATGAATTAAGTAAAAACACTGTTTGAATTAAGCAGCTTATCAATGCATTAAAGGGATACTGAAGCGAAACTTGAAATACACCTATTATGGTCAGAAATAGGTTTAATATGATCAATGATATCCGTAAATCATAATCGCTCGTTCGTATTTTGAACGGATGGCTATATTTTTCACTTTGGGCCCGATTGGGCGTGCGCTCAGAAATCAGCCATCGGAGAGCGCGATGCATCTTGGGATATTGGGCGCATTTGTGACGTCACTTGTGCCAGATGGGAAAGGCTACGGCGTGGATGCTGTGGTTACGAGCGTTGCCACTTGGTGGCGCGTCGACGATTTACGACCTGTGACAACGTGGCCGTTTGAGATGTGCAAGGGCTGCACGCACGCTGCACCACGGCAAGTCGGCAACCACGGCACCACTGACAAAACCAGCTCTGAGGCCGTATTCTCAAAGCAAACATATGACCAAAAAAATGCGTACGGCAAATTTGATAGAAAACTCATATTTTCTAAACGAAATTGTCGTAACTTTTGCGCAGGTTACGACAGAATCATACGACAGCTCCGCAGCTGTCTTAAGCACTTCTTACGATCAAATCAACATGGCCGACAGCGTCGCTCAGTTACTTGGTAGCGACGACCAACGGACATTAATTTTTCTACGTGCTTTTCTCGTGCGCCTCGACTTCAACCAGCCAGAAAAAAGGAAGGGGTACTTGAAACAGACCACGACAATCAAGAACGCAGGATCCACAGACACCCGAGAAGAGCTACAACGGCCACGATTCTACCGACCAAGCGAGCTCGGCAAAATATAGTAGGCCTAGCAGCAACACCGACTCAGCGCACCATTGCTTTGGCGGTCCTTGGCCAAGACCGTCTGCCCATGACTGGCTGGCCTGCTGAATGGAATATGCCCGCGTGACCCTTGTGGACCCTTCCCTTCCGAATGAATGGTTTGATCCCTGAACTAAATTTCAGAGGACAATCTTTTCCCCTTGTCATCTCGATCTCCTTGTTTTCCGAGACAGCGGTGATGAACGCTGTCGTCGAAAAGGGACTCTCATTGATTCTATCTCCTTGTTTTGTGTGATATAGAGCTCAAATAAATGCTATACAGATTACCTTCGCAACACGGTATGTACACTTTGTTATTAGTATGCCATTTTTATTCTGACACGACGCTACGTCACTGTCGAGCTATAGCAGTTCGTGGGAGCTACGCGATGTCGGTCCAACCTTTCTTTGCCGAGTGTCATGTCAGTATCGAGTTGCAATCATAAAAGATCGGTCCAGAAGCGCGTACCGAAACGCGGTCTAACAGAGCGAATCCAGCACTTTGATCAAAGATGCATGTCCGCTCCGAGTGTGAACACGTATTTGCGTGGCTTTTGCTGACACTCTCGTAGTTCAAACATATCTTTTTTAACGTCGGCTCGCAGCTCGCGAGTCGCAGCAACTAATACCGTGCCAGAAACATGCTCGGGTCGTGTCGTGCAAAGAGCCGCAACGAGAACGAGCTCACTGTGGCCAATTGTGCTTTGGCTTTCTCCGCCAAAGCTTTGCAAACAAGTCCAGGCCTAGGCTAATTATGCCGGCACGCTGTATTGCTGCAGAACGGCGCTGCTCCTATGCCATAAGTGACGTCACGAGAACTTTCCCACCATCCACCAGAAGTGAATTTGAAATCGTTTAATTAGGTTTAAAATTAATTCTCCTGTGTTTTACAGCGCGATATTGATATTCCTGAGGTGGTGCCTGTCCCTAGCCCATAATTATGCAGAAAGATCGCCGCTAAATTTTCGTTTCCGTACCCCTTTAAAAACATAGTGGGACAAGCAAAATTTTTTAATTCGTTTGAACTGATCGGAAATATGAAATACTTGAGTTTGAATTATCATGAGTGTACTGTATTTAGGCCATTGCTTCCAGTGCATAAAGCTGACACGGCACTTGTGTCATTTGGACCCAGGTTCACAGTGACCACTAACACAACACTCTCGCAATATCTACTTGATTGCACGCCCAGATTATGGCACTTTGGGATCATTGGTCCAAGAGCTACTACAGTTAGTAAAAGGTTAAGAATGCAGTAAAAGTTGTGCCTCTGACACATGCTCGTTGCCTTTTGTGGGGTTTGGCTGCGTGTGCGCCCAAGTGTTAACGAAGGCAGAAAGCTCGTGCTGGAAGCGGACCGTCTACCATAACGTTCCGAGAGATAGCAGAGTTGAAACTCGGAACATATTGGATGAAAATAGGGGGTGGGCCACCTTTTGTAATGCACCCAAAAAGAGTTAAAAAACGTTGTAGTCGAGCCAGGGTTGCAGAGTCTTCTAAAAATGGGAATGTGAGTTTCTTTGCAGTCTATATCTGCACGAATGGAGAAGCATGCACAAAACCAAGGTGGGCTATGTTCTGATAGTGAGGCACCTCGGGATATTACGGTAGCATATTCTTATCCCGACAACTATATCCAAATAGAAAGCTCCAACGTTGCTCCTTCTCCAATACCGATCGTTAGATTCTTAACGGTGAGCTCGTTTGATTTGGCCACGCCCGCCTGCACTGATGCAGAAAGCGCAGGGCAATGCACTTTCAATTGTATTTTGATATAGGCTGCACTCATAAGTTGAATATGGCAGTACACTACAGCATGCTCCGAGTGCCGCTGGGGCGGAAGGTGCGGGTAAGAGCCACTGTACCCGGCAGCATTAGCTGCCAGGGTAGCGACACGAGGCGTAGAGACCTAGATGCACATAGTCAAAAGTGCCAGTAGGGATTTCCATTTTGGGCCGGGAAGTTACCATGGTAATTGAGCTGCTAGTGGTGCCTGGTGGCTTCTTTATTAGTATGGTTCATTTTGTCTCTCCATCCATTCATTCAAACGCACTAAAATCGGTAAAGTGAGTAAAAGCTGCATAAAACCGTGGTTGGAAACCGGCATGGGTATGTATATTTTAAATTGTAGGCTCCTCACTCTCCATGCGTTCAAAGCACGCAAGGAGCGCACTGACATGTTGAACTTTGTGCTACTCGGGAAGTGCAAGAAGCAGACGACAGGTACATGGGCAGCGCTCCCAAATATCCGAACCCTACTTCGGCAGTCGTCGGCCTTGTGTGACTCCGTCAATAGCTACGGAAACTATGGTTAGGCCCGTCACTACGGTACAGTACGTGACCGATCAGGGCGAGAGGCGACACAGGGAAAAGCGTAGCGCTACTTTGGCAGCTAAAGCTCTACAAAAAGTCTTCTCAAATGTAGACGTTTTCTTTTTTAAATGGTTTCATAGATTTTACGAGTGTGGTAATTAGACATAATGCCGTACACACGGCTCACTTTTCTCACTGGTGACCACGGTGTAAGATAATACTCTTCAGGTGAGGATAGCGCGCTCGTCGCGCAGAGCAGATAAAGTTTGTTTTTCACTCTCTCTCCTTTTCTCCGTCACTATGGTTTCAAGCGGTGCCGGCAGATGACTCGTCGACCCGTGGGCACGGCAAAGACGGCTCGTGCCGCCTCATGCTCCACACGCGCAGAGCTCCAGCGAGGTTGTCGCTCGTGCAGAAAGACCGCAGTGTACCAGGGTGTCATGACAACGAGATAATTTTTTTCGCTCTCACACAGTTTCGCCGTTTGGCCGCGGGCGACACTGTCAGCAGTGGGCACGGTGGCCGCAAAATAATGCAGCCTTTCGGATGCCCGTCGAACGAACACTATCTGATTCCTCGCGCCGTGCGTTTAGCCCCGCCGTATCCTCACCTAAAGAGTGTATCTTACACTGTGGTGGTGACCCACCGAGACTGACCCACGTGTGGCGGCGTCGCAGGCATTCGCCAAGGCCCGGACGGACGAGAAGGACCAGCTGCGGACGCTGATGCAGGCCGTCTCGGACAACGCCTACCGGGTTTTCCACTTCGCCGAGGCCATCTACAAGAAGCACGGGCTCCTGGACCTGCCCTGAGAGGAGTCGCGGCACGCCGGGCCGAGACGCCGCGGCGCCCGCAATGCCTCTTTGACCGGCGTGTTTACAGCCCCCCGATCTCCACCCGCCACGCTGTTGCCGGCTGCAACTCTGGCGGTGTTGCAGACACCCATTATGCTGCAGGTCGCATCCGGCCGGACAGTTTACGGAGGCTTCGACAGCCGGGAGTTGGGATTCCGCGACGACGGCAACATGTTTTCTTACACTTCTTTTTCGTAACTTCTACGTCCAATCGCCGGGATCTCGACATCTGATGTCGTTTGCTGCCCTCTAGGGACCACTTCAGCGGGACACGGAGCGCACTGGTCGGGGACGCATTCCAGGCACTGCGGCGAGGCCGCCCGAACGTTACGGCGAGTGGAACGCTCTTTGCGAAGCCTCTGCACCACTTTTGGGAGGTGCATTACATCCTCTCGAACGTCAAATCGACGGGCTGTCCACCTCGGCGGCTGCCACTGCAAACAATGTCTGGCTTTTTTTACTCGAGCTTCTGTGGACCGGAAAACTTAGTTTCTCGAAAGAGAACCGCAAAGCTCAGTCGACGTTGTGCCTCTCTGTGGAGGTGTTCTCTCTTGGCTTACGTGCAACAGGGTTGCGTACAAAATTATATTGCCCTTTTCTTTTTTTTTTTGTAGCAACCGTGGTTTGTAAACTGGGTGAATTTCAGCTACGAGGGCTTCGTTTAGCCTTAAAACCCATTTGCTCAAAGGAACGGATACTAGTATCTTGAGTGTCGACTCTTGGGACCCAGAGCATAAGAACTGGTCTGCAAGCTCAAACTACTGCTGTACTCAAAGGTTAAAATACATGGTCTAAGTACTTTGAAACAGTCCTATGTTGGGGTCTGCATAGAGTACAATACCGTCAGGGTTTCAGATGACAAGTGATTTGAATGCGTTTTTGCCCCTTGTTTTGGGATTCTGCAGGTCTGAAGATACTAGTAGACAACATTGATAAGCAACTTCAGGGAAGGCAGACAGGTCTGCCCAAGTCTCAGAAAGTTTGTCCAGAAAAGTTGGCAAGGGTGCTGTAATCAAATGGGAACATTCTCCGCTGCACTTCCATCGGGGCTCATGGATCGTTGGGTTCAGGCTGATTTCAGACTACATGGAAAGGAATGACCTGGGTGTAATTAGGAACAAATTTACTAGTTAGAATTTTTCAACACACAGACGGTTCTCATTATTGTGGCTCAATATATCTTCACTCCTGCGTAAGGAATAGGCTCCGATTTTTAATATACTTGTTGGTAGGACGTGTTGGACAAGTTTGTTACCTCATGAAAAATTAGTAGAATGCATATATTTCGTCGTCTTTTACATCAGCTTCATGGAGGAATTCCTCAACTGAATGACTTAATTGGGAGCAGCTGCTTCAGCTGCCGAGTTCAAACTCCAACTGCTTCTTAAACTCCCAAGGTTTTTATGTTTCATGATACATAGAATGCAGAAAAAGTTATTTTACTCCGCTCGCTACAATCACGAGTTACACTTGAAAATGCATATTCAAGCATTGCATGGTGCATTGCTACATTGGGCAATTCAGATAATGTTTTCCTTGTTCAGTGTTTTCTTCACGCAAGCAACGTTGTATTTGTTTTATGAATGCAACGTTATTTAACATATTGTTGGTTGTGAGGATGGTTTCTATACCCTCCATTGTGATCAGTTGACAGTGTACCGTTCAAAGCATCACAAACTGCTTTTAATTTCAATCAGCGGTCAGCTAGGACTTCGGAGCTGCGGTGTTTGGTCGAGGCTTGAACTCTTAAAATTATTGTAATTGGAAAAGTCTCACAAACACTGCAAATTTTTTGAGTGCATATTAATATGGGACCAAGGGCAAAGTGACCCAGGGAAAAGAGTATTGCCTATGGTGTTGGTGTGTGGGAGTGCATATCCTAGTGTGTGCGAAGATGGTCTGCTGAAGCTATTGTTTGAGTACTAGGGGAACAATAATTATCCCTGGAGAAAGGAAACAACAGGGACTGGGGGAATATGCTTGAAGTGTGGTTCATATTGAACATGTATGCTGCATATTCTTCATTGATGCTCTCAATATTGAATAGATGTAAATTGCAGCTATCCAGTGTAGTTAAATAGTTGTACTTTTCAATGCAGTGCTGCTGGAACTGAAAATATGCTTGGCAAGGCATTGTTTTGTTTCTTTTTGAGGGCCACTGACCACCTTTGTCATTTCTATCTCCAGTAGTTTTCGTTTTTTTATTCCTGCATAACTGCTATCAAGTTTTTTGTTGAGCTTGTTGGTGCTTAATTTGGCATACAGGGCAGTGAGTTCCTTTTATTTTCTTTTTTTTTTATTGTGCAGTGTGCATGCGGTATTTTTTACTTCCGAATCCACAAAAGCTTGGAAGCACAAGTTTCGGTACTGCCTTTACATTGTCTTAACAATGCATGCATTATAAGAGAAGCGTTGTTTGCAACCATATAAAATCTAGTCATGCACCGAAGTAAGCTGTGGTTGACATACTGCACAGCATGGTTGGTGTGACTTGCACATTGATTCTTATTTACTCAGGATGACCCTGGTTCCTTATTTGTGGTTGGAGCAATTGCACCAATGCGGTTCAAGAGATTGTATGCCTTAGGTTGGTTGTGTTTTGTCAGCCCATGACAAAATAGTATTATACGACTGTTGTCATAATTCATGCGGTTTTATGCTTGCGTGATTGTGATGCCTTGTGCAGCGATGTACAGAAATTGGTGTGTTGGGCTCATCTTACATTAATTATAGTGTTAGCGTTTGTGTGTCATTCTGCCAGCCATTATTTTGTTTAGTTCATCCCTTTGAGAGCTCCCCCCCCCTCCCCCCCACACACACAGACTGAGTCATTTCTGTTTTCATTAAATACTGTTTATTTTTACCCACGACCCCAATGTCTCAGTGTGCTATTGGCGACATGCGCGATCGAAAGCGTCACTGTGGTAGGCCTTCCACGATTGGCCGGATGCTGACTATGACGACAGCAAAGGATTCCTCATTGGCGGAATTAAGAGTAATGTAAGAACTTCAATTTTGACACCCCCGGACAATATGGGCTGAAACGCTTGATGCCTACACTTCTCGCAGGTTATTAGACTGTGATCTAAGCTTCGAGTTCTAACGCCTGTCTGGGCCAAAGCTTTTTCAAAAACTGACGTATAAGTCTAAGATTCATAGAGGGCAGTTTCAGTCCGTATTGCACGTGGTAGTACACTCTACTGTACATCTACTCGGCTCTCTGACGTCATGCCACTGCAGTGGCGCTGCTGTCGGTACTGTGCAAACACTTTGCTTCACACTAATCTAGTTTCTGCGCATGCACAGGGCCCGCACCTGGCGTGGGCAAACGTGGGTTTGTTTGTAAACAGCCTGTTGTTAAAGGCCCCAGTGACTTTGTGCGAAGAAGCTTCAACAGACCGGTAGCACTGTTGTAGAATTATCACGACATTGGGATGTACAGCGTAGTCATTGTCCACGACCTCGAATGTCCGAGTGCCCTGCTGAAGCCACTGCACAGTGCTCCTTTCCAATCGTTTCGTGGCAGGAACGACCCAGTTTTGCACATTGTGGCCACCAGGAGTCTGACTGGCAGCCTACCGGGACGTACCCTGCGGACTGTTGGGCCGGTTTTGTTGGGGCCTGGTCACTCCAACCTCTTCCACTTTTCTGTATGTAAAAAGAAGCAGTGTGTCAGTGACAGGTTATTGGGTTTCGAGCTTCAAGCTCTGTTAAACAAACTTAATTTGTTTATAGTATGTGCAGTGCATAAAGACAAAACACTAAGGGGCGACGCAACAATTTGTGTACAGGGTGTCACAAAAGAAAATTTACACGTTCTTTTTTACCGCAAAAATAAACTAGGCATCGCCGAACGCTCATTTTCCGCCCAAATGTAGAGCTAGAGGTCACAACCAGATGCCAAAGTTTCAGCCCGATCCGATAACTTAATCAAAAGTCTAAGTGATTTTCTGAAAAGTTCAATGGGAAAATGGAGCCCATTTTTGTCCGTTTTCGGTTTCTGGTGCCATAGAGCCCCATGTGTTTGAAAACTCCGTCGGCCGCCATTTTCCCATTTAAATTTTCAGAAAATCACTTATAACTTTTGAATAAGTTATCGGATCGGGCTGAAACTTTGGCATCTGGTTGTGACCTCTAGCTCTACCTTTGGGCGGAGAATGAGCGTTCGGCGATGCCTAGTTTATTTTTGCGGTAAAAAAGATGGTGTAAATTTTCTTTTGTGACACCCTGTACTTGGCGCAAATACCGCTTAGAACAAATCCCTGACGTTAATGACCCATGAAATGCATTTGTTTTTCACCACGCAATAAAAGTCGCAGAAAATAAATTTTGAAAAAAAAAATTGACCGCATCTCCACGTGGTGAAGGATGTTGATTGGGGCAAAGCTCTGGGGGTGCTGATGATGCGAGAAAGTGGAGGTCTCTTTAGTTCCGCGATAAAGTGGCACTATCTGATCCATGTCAGAAAGAGAATGTGTGGTATGGAACGTGGTTATATACGCATTTGAGCATTTGACCGCAGCGCCCTCTCGTCTATAAACGTTGAGCCAATGCATGCAAAGTTTAACGCGATTATATACGCATTTGACCGCAGCGCCCTCTCCTGTATAGACGTTGAGCGGCTACATGCAACGTTTCATCCATGACATCCCCAGCTCTTCGAGTTACTACCACATCTCAGAGCCCCCTACTCGTCCCGCAGTCGTGGCCGAGTGGTTAAGGCGATGGACTAGAAATCCCTTGGGGTCTCCCCGCACAGGTTTGAATCCTGTCGACTGCGCAAACATGTTTTTCTTTTTTTAAGACAGATGGGATGGCAATCGGTGTGAGCACGGACGCCGGACGGACAAGGCTAGACCCTAAGGAGCTTCGCCCCTAAAAAGCGAGTAGCGTTTATCTTTTGAACTCTCAGCCAGAACGAGAGGCCCCGTGATCGGGAGCCGATTATGTGCCACCAATCTTGATCATAGCCACACGCTGTGGTTGGCAAAGCACAGAACACGCGCAGAGTTCGAGACATTGTTGTGGTTCGGCTATTGTTGTCATTGTCGCCACAACCCAAATGCTTATCCAGCTATTGATTATCACGAGCCTGAAACGAGTGCTCACGCAATGCTCGGGTCCAATCTATGAGCCGCATTCCAATATCGTCACTGTCCGGTATCGTGACCGCCCAGCTACGTCATCAAGTTTTGCTAAAAAGAAATTAAACGAAAACGGTCGCTTTTGTCCTTAAAATTATACCGCAACAAAGGAGTTCCTTGGTCAGTGGCCTTGCGTGTGAGTATACCTGGGTCCCACTAGTGTCAATAAGCTCGTGTACAGTGAAAAACATTCCAAGCAAACATTGTTGCGGGGCCCCTTTAAAGGGATACTTCAACGAAATTTGAAATATTCCCATCGTGTTCAAAAATAGGTTGAATACGATCCACAATATCCGTAAATGACAATCGCGCGTTTGTATTTTGAGCCTGGTTGCTGTATTTTTCGTTATAAACGGCCCACTCTGGCAAGCGCTCGGAGAAGGCCCAGCGGAGACCACGTGACATCCAACGCAATCGTGACGTAGGTCGTCTCAAGACGAGCAAAGCTGCGGCGAGGCTGACGTCCAGAGGATGGCCTAGTCGTTCCAGCCACCGAAGCGGCTGCTTTTGTACGAATTTTGAGTGACGGGTTAATCTTCTGTAATCTTGTAGGGGGACAATAGCGACTTCTGCGACACACAAGAGGCATTCTCGGGAAGAGGGGAGTTCCTCCTGCCCCTCTTCTCTCGTCGTGGCCGGAGACGAGACAACCTCCGTCACTAGCTGTCAAGGTTCCTACACGGCCATTACAAGCGAGGCGTTAGCGACATTCACCAGGTGCTCTTTGCTAATCGTTTAGTTCGTTTTAAAATTCCTTTTCGTGACTTTTTTAACAATATATTGGTATGTTCGTTGTGATGCTGCCTTTTTGAACACACATAAACCAAAAAATGAGCGCCGAAATTTTGTTGTAGTATCCCTTTAAAGGGCAACTCCGCTCGATTTCGGGAAATTTGAGATAGTGGTGATATAAACGTGAAAAGTAGTCCAAAACGACCCTAGACTGTTTGTTTCGTGAAAACAAAAATATTTTTTGTGATATCTCGTTATTTACCGAAGTCGCAAACCGAAACCGAAACTTCGACACAGCCGCACAGGTGGGCAACATTGTACCCTCGACGTCAGCTGCATACGCACGCACCCACGTGGGATACAAGGGGTCACGTTATCTACCTGCGGTAACCTAGAAATGACCGGATGTACGGAGAAGGAGGAGGAGTAGGGAGGGAGGACGGGCGAAGCGGCGGTTGCGAACAGGCAACGCAAGCGGCGACGGACCAGACTATGCAGGCATAGCTTGCTTCGTCCGTCCTTGCTTCGAAGTAGGCATAGCAGTGCAACGTAGGAAGGAGAAGTCAAGCTCTTGATACGGGAGCAGCCGAATAAATATACGAGTATGCTTAATTTAGTTTTGTCATCTTGTGGGGTTTGATCCCAAACATTACTCTTTGCATATTACTCCGTCTACTAAAGTAGCAGTTATTATTGCTTTGTTTGTGATATTGGCGGAACAGTACTTGCATGCGAGGTTGCACCTTACTCCTTCGTGTCTCGTATGTCAAAGTTGAAGTAAATAAAAAAAGATTCTTAAAAAAAAACGAAAATAATTTTTTTTTTTTTTTTTTGCTTTCTTCAATATATATATATTTTTTTTGTAAAGTTGAGACAACACTGACGTAGGGAGCTACCGTGGTGCCAAGCTGGCGCCCGATAGATAACCCCGGCGGCCAGGCGTCTCCGAGTCCGCGGTCGTCGGTCGCTGAAGCTTCTTCGCCTTCGGGGTCGCGTCTGGTTGCGCCGTCGAATTTTTCCGCCTGTTGCCGCCATAGGGAGTTTTCACTGACGTAATTTTATCCCCCATTTTGTTGTTTTGAGCTATTTAGCGTGTGCAGAAGGCAAGTATCCCAAGGATTTCCATGACCCCTTAAATGCGTACAGCACAGAAGGTTATAAGTCTTACCATGCTGGCATCTCCTCAACAGGTTCCGATGTAATCCTTCACATTAGTGAATTTGTTTGAAAAAATAAACTAACAACAAAATGGCGGATTCACGTCATATGAAAACAACCTATTAGAACAACGCGTCGCCGACAACATGTAAATGTAATTTTGTCTTGTATGTTCGGCTTTTAGAGATCAGCTCTTGGGCGCCCGTTTCCGGGTTTCGCGTCGTCGCTGTCGCGGTCGGCGTAACCGCGCTAAATTTAGCGGAAAAATTTACGTCACGTGACCTCAACACAAATTCAATTCCCCGCTAAATTTAGCGAGGAAATTTAGTTTCTCCGCTAGATTTAGCGGACAAATTCCGTTTCCCCCCTAGATTTAGCGGGAAAATAGACATCACGTGACCTCAAGAGCAATTCAATTCCCCGCTAAATTTAGCGGGGAAATCGAATTGATGTTTGAGGTCACGTGGCGTCAATTTTCCAGCTAAATTTAGGTGGAGGAAGGGAGTGGGAGGAGAGAGTACAGAGGAGGAGGGGCATACCCTTCGCTCCTCCTTCTCAAGAGCTGCGCTCTAATCTCGCATTACAGAGATCTGTAAACCTATTTAACTTTTTTCTTTCCCGCGAGCGTTTTTTAATGCGAAAGCATTAACTGTCCCATGAAGCGAACCGGCGTTATCAGTTTTTGAAGCCGCGTGCCAAACGGCACATAAACTCCCCGTTCCCAATGGAGCGAAGCCTGTAGTCTGTGGCAGCGATTTGGTGGATAGGCTCATATTGGCTGGTACGCGTCACAGTTTTAAGGAGCGCCACCCCATGGCGCTGCGGACCCCGCGC